GCACCTCCCAGGGCATCCGGGCCTGGTAGGGTCAAGGCGGCGGGCGCCCCACCACAGCCTGGCGCCGCGGGACTGAGTGCGAGAAAGGCTGGATCCAAGGGCCAAGTTCCCTTGTTAAAAAAAAAAAACCAAAACAAAACTCGTCTCGCTCACTAGAGAGCCCTGAGCGCAGCTCACATTGGGCTTGAGGAAGGGGTCTCAGGGGCGAGGAGGATGCCCAGGGCCGGTGCGGAGACCGACTCCGAGGCAGAAAGGCCAGCTGGTGCCGGGAAGGACGGTGGCCCCGACCTGGCCCCGAACGGAGTGCGAGAGGCTGGGAATCCGGCTGCCGCTCGGTTCTCCCCGAGCGAGAAGGTTTCTCTCCCTCGGCCTTCCCAAGGCCTCCTCACAGCGTTGGCGGAGAACCCAAAGACACACACACAAAATAGCATGAAGGAGAGACAAATGGGCGTCGTGGCTTGAGAAATCCCCAAGCCGCACGGACCTTTGGCCCCCTGTGCGGGCCCGGAGCGCCACACTACACTCGATTTTCCTTTTTCCAACCGCCTGCCCTCAGCAGAGATTCCTCGGGCCTGGATCTCCGGATTGTCCGGGGGTAGAACTCTTCAAGAAAAACCAGCGAAGCGAGATAAAACAATCTGGGGGCTGAACAAATCCGGGACCTGGTGGCCCGTGGAAGGTGTCACCGGGTTCCTTTCTGTTTCGTATTCTGTATTCAGCACATATAATATATATATAAAACTATATCCACATGCCGTGTACACACCCGCTGCCATACACTACAGGAGTCAATAAACAAGGTGCAATATTTCCAAACCATTAGCCGGCTACAGACTCTGTTTAGCCCCCTCCCCACACCCCAGGGCGGAGGGATCCTTTAAACCCGGCGGGCAGGGGAGGACCAGGTGAGTAAGGGAGGGCAGTATTCCTTGGGCGATCGCAGGCCTGTTGGGCCCTGCGCCTGTCCGCAGGCCGCAAGTCTGGGCTCCTCGTGGCTTTGTTCATCAATTTCTTTTGGCTCTAGTGGGGAGAATAGGTCGGAGCATCCCGGCCTTTTGAGGTCCGGGGCTTTGTAATCCCCGCCCCCACAATTGTTACCCAGATGTTTGGGCTAGTGCCTGAGTCTGCCTTGGATCAAGGCTTTAGACTCTGCCGCACCTGGAGGGTCGCCGGGGAAAAGGAAACTTCCCCAGGCCCAGCCGCCGGCGGCGCGAAGGGTAGCTCCTTCTTGGGCCGCCGGGGCTTACAACGCGCCCGGGAGCGCTGCGCCCCGCCGCGGCCGCGTTCTCCCCCTCGGCCGCCCTCCCTTCTCCCCCGGCGGCCGCGGCTTTATGCCGCTCCTTGTCACTTGCGGAGAATGCCTGCGCGAGGTCTGGGCTGCCACACGGCCGATTGTGAGCGTGCCAAGGCGGGTGAATGGGGAGGCCTCAGAGCGCCGCGCCATTGTGGGGCCGGGCCTCGCTGAAAGGCGGCTCCGGGCCGGGAAGGTGCGGAAAGAATGGCTTTTTATTGGAGTCCCGAACAAAAGGTGTGGTAGGAAGGCGAAGTCCCCCGCGCGAACAAAAAACCCCAGCATCGGGATTGACGTCCCCCCCTCCCCAACTCCCCATTGCTGCTTAGAGCGGGGGCTTTGTGCAGCAGTCTGCTCAACAGAGGGACGGAGAAATGCGCGGGGGGTTTTGTTCCCCACTTTTGTGCGCTGGGGGAGGGGGCGGCGTGGGGGGACGGAGGCTGGGCGGGCAGCAG